TTGCAATTTTGCCATTTGGWACAAAATTTGGTGAAGGTAATTTTGCCATTTSTATTGACCTACAATTACCAAATCAAATGACACAAAATTAGTAGACGCATCCTGAAGTTAATTAGAAAAAGGACAAAAATCACCGTATCTTTAATTTACATTCCTTGAACAAGAGAGGAACCTTTGTCCCAGATTATTGGAGGTCCAAGAAGTTTTTATGATGCCTATTGAACCACAATCGCAAMTCACCATTTGAGAATTTTGAATTCTAAAAAGACACAATAAGCAAGAACCTTTAAGKGTTTAGGGTGAAGAAAACTCAGGGAAGAAGAGAAAGGGGTATGATGTAATGTTGGGGATGGATGAATATCAATTGGAGAAGTGGTTATTACARTGAAAAGGGTTAGGACAATTTTGCCCTGCTGTGGTTATGGTTTAACGARACAAGTTGCACARAATCTTCAACGAGGACCAATGATAAAATAGTATTTGACAACCATAATGACCAAACCTGTAATTAGTTTGAAATGAGAACTACACTTGGTAATAGATGGCAACCACAAGACCAAAAATGAAATTTACTCTAATCCTTTTATAGCAGCTAGTTTTAAGGGTAAAAAGAAGTCATTTTTCATATAAAACTAAAAACCTACAAAAAGATGAAGAAAATGGCTAGAAAAGGGATAGTCACATTTATTGCTTTTTTGGGCTTTCTTAGATTGAGCTTTTTGGCCTTTTYCAGGGGGAATTTCTTTTGAAAACATCATCTCCACCTCTTGAGGTAGATCTGCATACATCTTACTCCCATATCGTACATTCGATARTCACCTCTTACTTTGTATGTTTTTATAGTAATGTTTTCCTCATTAATGTCACTTCTCATTTACGTGTTTTACAGTAATGTTATTTTACTTGGTTGCTCTAAAAAACTGGGTGTGGTTTTGAGAGTCAAATTACATACTCAATTATATGTTTATCAAGTTCTTGTTACGACATGGTTGCCTAAAAACCTAACGACATGAACTTTTTGGAACAGTTAAATGCCGAGGAAGTTATGAGAAAACTCATTATTGTTTAACTTATATGTTTATCAAAGTTGTAAGATAACTAATTGATACAACATACACAAATGAAAGCAACTAATTGATATTTTCATTGATATAAAAGTTATTAGAAAAAAAATTACAAAATAAAACCGACTTTGATTTGTAGAAACCTTGTTTTTAATAGATGAACAAATCGTTTAACAAGCTTTGGAGAATTTACGAATAGGTTACAAAGACCAAGTAAATGAGCGACTCCTAAAAGTAAAATATCGTCGGAGTAAATGTAATCCAATTGTATACAMTCCAATACAACAATGCAGAAACACTATGTGTAATTGACGATCGGTTAATAAATAATCATCAACCCACAATCTATGTAAATGCAATAACGATCAAGCTTAAACACACAAATATAGTAAGGGCATGTAAATTAAATCGAGAAACAAGATTATGTTGTTCCACTATCTATAGCGTGAGAGTGGAAGTCCACATGAAGAGACGASAAATGCCGATATTACTCATCAAACTAGAGTTACATTTTAYGTACAAGAGCAAATGATCAATAGCCATGCCTTAAAATATGCCCCCTTATTGGGCAATTCACATATACGATTTAGGGTCACGTGGTTCCCAAAATAGGCATATATGCTATCTGTTAGCTAGGATGTTTAGGTTGCAAGTTCAAGTGTCTTGGTCGCAAACTTTGTACCATAGCTCCAATAACATTCCTCGCGACTTAGCCGAGCATGGCATTTGAGTTACCTTTAAGCTTTCCAGGCGACCTGACAATGCGACTTGGGGTCACTAAGTACCCAAAAACTGTGCCACTGAAGCTGGGACTAACCTATATGATTGTTGGGGAAGACTGTACGCTACTTGCCTATAGAAGACACTCAGACACTTGTGCAATATCTCCAAATTCAACATGTTCCACTTTAATATCAATCAAACAAATGAGGATCAAGGAAAAGTACCACTACAACAAAATCGGGTTCATAGGACACTCCCAATTTCTACGCGTCCTAATAGACCTCTTTATAAGATTTAGTTTATAGAACAAAAAAAAACGTCCTATCTAAAGGCGTTGTAATAAGTTTATATCACGTTTTCTGATGTCGTAATAAGGTTTTTAGGACACTTGTAATATAAAGCGTCCCATTAGCAACTTTATAGGACACTCTTTGAAAATATGTGCTATAAAAACAAATGTCCTATAAAAAATTGAGTTTATAGGACACTTTCCCAAAAATGTCCTATAAAGTTGCTAATGCGACACTTTGTATTAAAAATATTCTAAAAAACTTGTTAAAACGCCCAAAAACGTCATATAAACTTATTACAACACCTTTAGATATGACGCTTTATATTTTGGTCCTATAAATTAAGTCCTATAAAACGGTCTATTGGGACACTTAGGGATTTGGGGTGTCCTATAAACTCAATTTTGTTGTAGTGTACATAAAAAAATTATTCCCCCAAAAAAAAAAACATACTTAAATATTTTGTGAAGACCATAAAAGGAAGGAGAAGGCATAGACAATATCATGTATATTTGTTGAAGCAAATCGTCTCGATGTAATGAGGAGTTTTAGAGAGACATGCACAAAATATTCCTTGACCTGAATCCATAACTTTCATCAGTAAGAGTCTGATTCACACTCAGACTCCTGTATGATTATTGAATGAAAATCAATAAAAATTCTAGAATCTTTATTCATATCGTTCTATCAAATACCTTGACAATTTGTAACTTGACAAACTTTAGGAATCTGCAAGATCCCCATTACCGAGAGCGGAACACCAGTTTCAGTAGTACTTTTGCAGCGTCGTTGATTTTTCTTGGGTAACCGTGGATTTCGGGGCTTGACTTGGTGTAGCAAAAATCAGATATTTAGGTACTAGTTAAGACTAGTAAGAGTTAGARTCTAGAYCAGCAAAAGCGATTTAAGTTGACTAGTAATTAAAACAATAAGTAATTCATATGAAAACAACTATCTAATATTTGGATTAATATATAATTGATAGGTACTGATTGAGAYATAGAAACGTCRTTATCTTGGAAAGTCTTCGATTGGCATCCACAAGTTGTTATCTAGCAAAGGTTCGTCGCTTTACCCAAAAAGGACGGTTTGTCGGTATCTAGCTAGTTGCTTGGAAATCTGCCAAATTCAATCAGCAATCACTGTTTTTTGTTTTGAAGGCTGAGCTACTCTTCATGACTAATTTAACCTCCCAGCAAAACACTYATAACTGAATTTCGTACTTTCTTTGATTGAATGTTTCATGAATATTTTACTAAAATTAGTACGTTAATGTTGGAAAGTAAACCGGCCTGATTTGATCCGATTAGTATTTTAAAGTAGCTACACGTGCCGCAAGATGATGCAGCTGAAATCTACATAGATAATAATTCAGCAATGTATTTTACAAAAAAAAGCCTCTGGCATATGAATAACCCATATAATAGTTCAGTTGGTAAAGAGGTACGGTGACTTTGTCCAAATACAAATACAGAACAAGCAGGCTCCATGTGGGTCCYAGCTAGGGCTGCCCGTAAATTTGTACTTGACTTGAGAAAAAAAATTGTTCAAAAGTTTTGGGAAGTCTTGAGGGAGCCATATAGCTTAGTCAACCTTATAAATCAATTAAACTAACCTTAAAAAGATCTACTGATTCTATCAGTCAAGAATTTCTTCATGCTTTATAAAAGATTATTGACAGATGATATGGCAACTTCTGTGAAATTCAGATGAAATAGATCTTAATTAATAACCTATGAATTCAATTCTTGTTGAGTGATGGAAGCAGTATCCCTCCATTTATTAATCAGTGGTTTTTAAGGTCTGAATTAGTCCAATTTGTCCCATTCACTGCGTTAATTTAGTTGCAAGTTAAGAAATAGTCAGAGGATTTATTGGAATCYAGAGAACTTCGCTGCAATTTAAGTAATCTAATCAATAAGACTATAAACAGTTCGGATATGAAAATGAATCTTTAATATTTGGACTAATAAAAGATGAGATATCGACATACACGTTGCTATCTCGGATTGCGTTGATTGGCAAGGCATTCTGCAGTTTCTTGGAATCTGCCCAACCCTATCAGCGATCGGTATTTTTTTCTTTGGGAGAATAAGCTGTCGTATGAGTCTGTTCGAAATATGAAATGATCTAACCTGTTCCTTTCACTTCGAAATCCCAGAAAAACTCTGCTAATTGACTCAGCCTTGCTCATATTTGATTGATAATTTCATGATTATTTTTACTTGAGTTATTAGGACGTCAAGAATTTGTCCATCTTGTATGGATAAAGTTGTCTTTGTGGATTAATCTGTCTTTATAGCTTGGAAAGATTTTTGTTTGGAAGGGTGTTTTCATAGATGCAATGAACTTGTTTTTTAATTAGAAGAAGAAGGTTTGTGATGCAACGAATAGAATGAAAACAAAGATTACCACGTTGATTCTGCGAATACCCGTGGATAAGCTCCTTCTAGAAGCTTACTGAATAAGCTAGTTTCTATATCCTCAATTAAACCACTACAAAATGGTCATATATAACTGTCTTCATAAGTTGTGCGTTCCATTAAGCTCATACAATCATTGTCGGAAAAAAAAACATATCAAGGGGACAAGCTTTTAACACCAACCCATACGTTAATGCACCTGTGGTAACATAAAACATATCGATTTTCAAATTTCAAAGTCAACAATCAGTCTATTTCTTCAACATTTGAACTGGTCAATGCCTTCTTGCTGAAATGAGATGACTTGTAAGCAGAGAAAAAATTTGATAAATCAAACGAAATAAGGATATAATTTATTAACAAGTCCGGAATTTTCTCGGAAAGAGCCATGTATCAACAAATCACTCTTTCTTCTCTCTAAACTTGTATTGATTCTATATTTCAAGAACAAGTCAACAAATTTTCAAGCAACCACCCAGTCTCTATATAAACTAACTAACAGATGATTCTGCCTGATGCAAATTAGCAACAATGGAGCACCAAAACCACATTGTTTCCTTGGTGTTCTTGGTTGCCATGCTCTGTGTTTGTGTCATGGTTGATTTTGTGCAAGCGTCTATTTTAGTAACATCGGAAAAAGGTTTAACTGAGGAAAAGTATACCAAACTACGCTCTACGAAAACCATGACGAGTACGGCCATCAAAGATGCATCCAGTCGAAAGAGAAGATCTATCCAGGAGCAAGATGATACTGGACAGGTTGATGTATGTGCAGGTATGTTGTTATGATTCTGCAAATATTACTGTGATAAAAGAAGTTTTCAAAATTATTGGGCAACACCATATAGCTTAAGTTTAAACAACATTTCTCTTGGATATAATTAAGTCACATGGATCAACAAGTCTATAAATAGATTGATGGGATCGATGAAACATACAGGGACGGACCCATAATTTTTTTTAAACGGTGACACCATTTGACCATAAAAAAATATAGGGAAATTTTTTCAAAGGGTGCCTCCGTTTGACTATTAGAAACAAATATACAAAAGTTTTTCAAAGGGTGGCACCATTTGATTAAGAAAATGACACTAACAGGATTCGAACCTGGGTCTGGGGTGGAATAAAAGTCTTGCAAACCAACTTTACCAAATAAAACTTGCTCTCATTGTAGTTTCAAAATACGTTCCCGACACACAACATATTAATACGGTTGCACCGTTCACGAAACCTAATTTTTTTACCCTTTGACGGAGAAATAATACGCTGGCACGTGCCACCTATACCACATAGTTGGGTCCGTCCATGAATACATATAGCTAGTGTGACGCCTAGTGGGGATGCCGAACTAGATTTTGGTTGTTAATTAATTCCTATGAGAAATACTCTAATGAAGGTACATCTCTGAAATGTAAATGTGAAGTGTTGCATATAGTTTTAGTTTAATAGTTCCTTATTACCCATTTTTTGGAATTCTATAAACTTGTGTAGCCCCGTTGACTTCTTACGAGATGTAAAAAGGGCCCTCGACATGTATGCAAAAATCTTTAATGTATTGTTTTTATCATTTGAAATAACGTCAAATTCAAGAAATAATAATAATTCTACCGTTTTTCGTGGTATTTATAGACGTAAAATCAATCAATAATTATTTTTAAATTAATATCATCTACCATATCATTTTTATATAGCATTGTCAATCCTTACATGTTTCAAACATATTTGTGATGTAACTTTAATATATAGACTGACAATATCATTTGGGTTCACAATGTTGACTATTCAAAGTAACACTCTATGCATATCATATAAATCAGTTAGTTTCCATCTCACCTCATGTTAATGTTTTTCATCATCATTTAAAATTTTTAGGGTTAAAACAAACTTTTCCGAAACCATCAATCTTAGAATCAAAAGCCCATGTTGGTTAAAGAATGAAATCTTATTTTTATTTAAAGATAAGAGAGTACTTAAGATTCATGCACTCAATAGAAGAAAATAAGGAGTGAAAATATGACTAGTTTTGAAATCCTAAATGTAGATATATGTTTTCAAAAGATAGGAGTTTTTCTTGATTAATAACAAGAAATCTATAATATTCTAATACGAAAATAGAATTAATGCGAATAAAATAATAAAAAAGAGTCAAACAGAAGATGAATGGTGCAAAAATATATCAAGGTTTTCAAGGTAAGTAGTTTTAAAATTTTAATACCAGATAAAAAAACTTAGAGAAACAATAAACATTACTATAAAACTAATGACAAATTAATTTTTTTTACATATTTTCTTATCCAATATAATTAATTAATATATGTATGAGCCTTTAGTATAATACTAATTCTTTTTTGTCTTATTAAATACTAAAAAATTTGTGTCTTTTATTTACTAATTTTTTTTACTACCATTATAACTAAAAAGAAATTGAGGCCCCGATTTCTTGTGGCCCTGTGTGCCCGACCCGTCCTTCCCCACCAATCGCCTTGCTTGTGTTAACTTAAATAACTTTATTTTAACCAAAAACGTATGAACGACATGATAAGCTGGATTCGAGCCTAGTTATGCCCTCAACTTCATCTGTTCCTGGGTAAAAATGGATAAAACGACTGTTTTACTCCTGGTACGTCTCATAATTTTTAAGATTTTATTTGATTAACCTGAATATCCAACCCGTTATGCGAGCCGACTAATTCTAGGCGACCACCTGCAAATTAGCCCGGAGTCACAGCATTTGAACCTCCATGACCACAAGAGGATTTTTATTCCTCCTTGGATTTGAGCCTGAGACCTCCTCCAGATACTTTTGACCTTTGGAGCCAAGCACCACCCTCTCAAGCACCACCCTTGTGGTTAAAGATTTCTTTAATATCTCATTTATCAATCGAATATGAAGTCGCCTTCGTCATCACATATTTATCTTCTTCCCCATAAACCTTAACCAAACAATCTCCAACTCAATCCATAAATCTCGTGAAGCCAAAATCCTGTTCCAGATTTTGAATCAAACTAAATTGTTGATTGTGAACGAATGCCAATCTCTTTCGAGATAGGCTCGCAATCTCGCAGTCACTTTTGAAACAGCCTCATGCTTGGATATTTACTCAAGGTCTTGAAACCAACACTTTTTTTGGGTTCTAATCTTGTAAGTGCCCGATGCTTCTTTTTGTTTATCGACTGAATCTAGATTGTCCGACTTATAGTAGAATCATTATCACAAACTCTTCCTTTAATATGGAATTCAATGGTATACATGTTTTAGCATTTACATCAAGTAGATCTGAAAAGTTGTGCTGGAATTTGGAAAATCAATTGATGTTTGATGTTTTGAGTTTGGATTAAATTCTAACCACTTCGATCGTGCATGCATTCCACTTTGAGTGGGTTTTATTCGATATCTAGAGATCGACACGGAAGAGGCATCTAAGGTGTATGGCGAACAATTATTCTTGTTAGGTTTTCTTTTTCTACACTACAACAAAATTGGGTTTATAGGACCCCCACGATCTCTAAGTATCCCTATAGACCATTTTATATGACTTAATTTATAAGACTAAAATATAAAATGTCCTATCTAAAGGTGTTGTAATAAGTTTATATGACACGTTTGGACGTCTTAACAAGTTTTTAGGACATTTTTAATACAAAATGTTGCATTAGCAACTTTATAGGACACTTTTGAGAAATTGTCATATAAACTCAATTTTTTATAGGACACTTGTTTTTATAGGACAGTTTTTCAAATAGTATCCTATAAAGTTGATAATGTGACACTTTTATATAAAAAGTGTCCTAAAAAACTTATTACGACATCAAAAAACGTCATATAAACTTATTGCAACACCTTTAGATATGACACTTTAATTTTTTGGTCCTATAAACTAAGTCCTATAAAGAGGTCTATTAGGACAATTAGAATTTGAGAGTGTCCTATAAACCCGATTTTGTTGTAGTGCTAATTTATTTCAGCTTTGGTTTGTGTTTCAAGATGAAGAAGAGAATGACAGATGAAAGGGATGAAGCAAAGAGAAGTATGTTAGTCTTGAGAACAAACAGATGATGGAGGAGGTGAAGATCGTGTCGTCGCGAGTTATATAGAAATCATAAAGTTTTAAAACTCGGAAGTTCGTCAAAAGCGACTTCTTGGAGAACATAACAATGATAAGTTTATGAACAATATTGTAAACCAGTTAAGCACCTTTATTGTAGGCTTAATTGTTATAATTAAGCACTTTTTATCATTTGTGAAGTTTAGAGGTCAACCCAAAATTAATAGGCACCAAAACACCAATTTTAGTAATTAATGTTTCCATTTGCTAAAATCTTCATTTTTTTTTTCAAATTCAGTTCCTGTAATTTATTTGTGATTCACATCACCAGAATAAATCATATCAGCCAAAATATTAAAATACCAAAATCAAGATAATGTATCTATTATTTAAATAAAGAAATTCTTAATTGACCATGAATATATACTAAGTTAACTTCAATGGTCGCGTCTCTATCGCGTGTTGAAGTCCCATTAGAATATATATCCAGTAATCATCATCAACCTCCACAGCAAGTCAACATATGAAGCCAAATAAGTGGATGTCATGACTGATGTAACAAACTTACTGATGTGATTCCAACATAATAGTATAACTAATACTTGTTTAGACAGTCATAACTTCTATTTCTATTTCACAAATAATACTGATTTTGGACAGTTTTGGTGTGTGATTTGCTGTTATATCTATAAAGACATCATAGGGCCAAAATGGAAGATTAAGAAGCAAGGAAAAGGTCCATGCCCAACATTAGTTGTGTGGGTGCCAAAGAAAACCGGCTTCACCGAGTTTGTTAAAGTCAACGAACAATTAAAAGTGGAAGGTGGATTCTCCGTAGCCGTATTCTGTCATGCATTACAWTTATTACCTTTCAACATCAAGCCTATCTTCAAAACTTTCATCAATGATAAAGGGGAAAGTGGCACCTATGATCAACTTCTACACCACATTGAGGGCAAGGTATACTATTGTGTGTGT